GGAAAGAAAAAAACACCAAGTAACTCTACCATACAAAAGAATTTGATGAAAACCAAATTCCAACAAAAGATAGAGCAATACAGATGAATCAAGAAATGAAAAATTTCTGCAAAAAAGAAATACAAGAATTACTAGATAAGAAATTAATTAGGAAAAGTTCATCGCCCTGAAGTTGTTCAGCTTTCTATGTAAACAAAAATGCAAAAATAGAAAGAGGAACACCTAGACTAGTAATAAACTACAAACCTTTAAATAAAGCTTTAGAATGGATCAGATATCCAATTCCAATTAAAAAAGATGTACTTCAAAAACTCTGCAATGCAAAAATTTTTTCAAAATTTGATATGAAATCTAGATTTTGGCAAATACAGATTAAGAAAAATGAAAGATACAAAACGAAAGATACTCCAATGTGGCTCTAAGCTGATTCTTAACCTTTTCTCCTAATAATGTTGGGAGGCCAGTTAAGAATTTTTCTTTCTAAAACGGTTGATTATTATCTGTTCTTTGCATTACCCTTGTCATGAATATATCTTTGTATCATTTGAAATATGTTAATTTTTTACATTTTAAATTTGATAACAATTCTGAATTTCTATCCTTGACATATGAAGGATCTCTTATGAAATGTTTTGATATTGAAAAGATTAATGTTGCTACTGCATCTTGGATTTCTCTTCCTTCGCTGTCCGTTATAATGTTTCCATCATTATCTCTTTTAACAGCTTTTAGGATTTCTTGTTATTGATTTATGGTGAGATAATTGTCCCACCATCCTTTTAATCGCCCTGTAAAACCAACAACTAAGAGGTGTGCTATTGTGTGAACTGTAATTTGACCAGTCTGATTTTGAGTTTTGTATACATTTGAAACCATTGTCATTTGTTGGAGTATGCTAAGAATATTGTATTATGACATACCATCTATATTCCTTTCATAAGTGGTGTTGGCATTATATTTATTTGGAAATGTTGGTTTTTCTTCTATATTAATATCTAGGGCTGTCATTTTTGGGTAATAAATTTTTTAAGGTTCTTTCCAGATCATTTTATTAATCTGTTGAATTTTTATATCTTCTTTGGATGAATCTGTGTCATCATTATCTATTGTATTGAGTATTGAATTTGGGAGCTGTCTTTGGAGAGTATCTGCTACTATTCCTGAGTATTGGCTTTCTAAGGCTCCAAGTCTGTTTTCTATTTCATTTAAAATTTGGTTGCCTTCTGTTTGTTGGTATCTATTGGGTATTTCAAAAGGTATACATGCATGTTTCATTGGCTGTTCTGTATTTGGAAGGATTTGTATATTTTGAGTTTGGGTTGAATGTTGTAATTTTGTTTCAATTGTATCTAATTGTTCAGAAATGGTGTGCAAGTTCAAGTTTGTAAAATTATTTTGTTCTACTATCATTTTAATATCTTTTGAGGTAATAGGTTCTCCTAGATCCGGTGATCTCATTCTTAAAGGAGTAGCTCTTATACCTATTTTTTTATGTGAATATTGTAATTCTGTCATTAGAGGGTGATATGTTTCTATTTTTCCCTTGTTTGTTTGCCATTTATTGGTGGTTTTTAAAGTGTTTATTTGCAGTTCTTTATATTCTTTAAACCAATGAAAAAATTTTATTAATATTTTATGTTTTTCCATGAAATTATAGTAATTTTGTAATATTTTATCTTTCTGCTGATCATATAATTTAAAATAATTTTTTCTTTTTTGCTTGTTTTCTTATGAATAGAATTGTTTTCTACACCAGCCCTTATTAATTTCAAAATCTTTTTCTAGAACAAATATTTCTAACTCATTTTCTTGATTTTGAGGTAGATTTGGATTATTTGTCATAGAAGAATAAGTTGGAAACATATTTGGTGAATTTGACGGAGTGTTTTCCTGTCTATTATATACTGGTTGGGGTATATTGGAAGAGTTATTTATACTTTACAGATTTGTCTTAACAATAGGTATTGAGGATATAGAGGCTCTAGCTATTCTGAAATCTGTAGTTACAGTTGACGGGATTCTATGTTGAGAGTTTCAAAAGACCTTATGGAAGGAATTCTTGGTGGTCGGTTAAAGACAAGTTCTACAGAACCATCTTTAAATTCTGCCACATGATTTATTTCAGTGTTTTGGATAGTAACTAGATTAGTTGCTCCTTCTATTTTCTATCTGTTTAGAAGTTGGACTTCATATCATTGTATTGTCCTAGGTATGACAGTGTGTGACCTAGTCATATCTGTTTGAATTAATAATGTTTCTCCTTTTGGGCTGTGAACTAAAGCCTTAGTGTTTATTACAGAGTACTTAGTAAACATACATTTAGTAAATTTATATTATATTTTCAGTAAAGGGTTTTCAAGCCAAAGACTACTATGTAATCCTTTTAACAATCAAATCCCTGCAATCATCAATTTTTCATATAATAACAAACGTTACAAAATTATCTTTCCAGTAATCACATCTCTAAGAATATACCAAATGTAATCTTAATAAAATGCTACACTAACCTTACTTTGCTGCAAGTATGCTTTTAATAAAAGACGACAACTAAGATGATGGATTTTTTTTTGTTCTGAAGCAAACACTTAAAACTTTTCTCATAGCCTTACATTTTATTGTCAAAATCTCTATAGAATTTGAATTTTCTTGTCCAATTATCAATTTATTTCTCATTGTTAATTTTACTAGGAAACTAAATGAGAAACGACAGTGATGGAACGATGGTAATAGAGCAAACAACCTTCATAAATGACCAAATCTAAGTTCTTTCTTCCAGCAACCCGATCCTTCTTTGTTTTCTGTAAGCAACAACGTTGTCATTGAAGAAGAGTTTTCCAATCGTAAAAGTAGTGCCTATTCAGCCAGCCCAAGGTATTCCAGCAGCACAACAACAAGGGCGAGGGCTTTATAACACTATTAGTTAGCCTAATGTAGTTAAGGTTTAACACCGTTATCTAACTTTTATCATTTAATTAAAACTTTAAGGACACTTGGCATTAAATTAGAGAAGGGGCACCAATAAGGCTCAAACAAGGGGCAGGGAACTTCCATTCGGTTTTATTTACTAGAAGAAGTTTTCCCTCTCAAACCTTGCTAGTTCTTGTTATCACCTTTCTGGATATTCTATATGTGGGTTTATTCTTTTGATGTAGAGATCAAAATTGACGTTGAGATGTTACATTACTCTTAATTTGGGTTTTACATAATGGAGGGAACATTTAATCAACTCTCTAATTACTCTATTTTATAGAGTTATCTTGCATTTTTTAGAGCTTAAAAATGAGTAATATTTTTTTGTTGTTAATTAATTTAGGTCTTATTTTTACATTTTTTTAATATTAATTTACTTTATGCATGCTTTAGTAGTTTAATTAAGTAATTTGAGTTTATTTTCATATTATTAAATCTTGTTTATACTTTCTATTGATTATGCTATACGTGCTAAAGGTGCAAAAAAGTTTGGAAATCAAATTTGTAAAGATCATGCACTTTTGCTTAAGTTGACCTTAGACTGTGCTATAGTAATTGAAGCATATCTTCAGCAACAAAACTCCGATCGACACGATTCTTGAATTTATGGAAAGTTAGGAGGAAGAGTTACAACTTTGACGTTTAGAACTTCACCCAATTCAAAAGGGATCATGATAAAAGATGTAGAGGAATTTGACTGACTGCAGCAGATTGCATGTAGTGTGGACAACAGCTTGGGTGCCTAGGCACCCAAGGTGCTGCACAGAACTTGAAAAGGCCAAGGATAGAACCTTGGGTGTCTGGGCACCAACACTTGACTCTTCACATTTTTGGTCATTCGATTTTACATTAAATGGTCAATTTTTTGCTCAAAAATAAAACAGGATTCAGACACTAATTTGGGAAAAGAACGTTGACACCAAAAAGGGAAAAAAGATGAAATCAAGAGATTGAAAGATCAAAATGCTACTTCAAAGAATTTCTCATTCTAGATTTGATTGTATCTCTACTCTTTTGTAGAAATGCTTCATTTTGCTGAAATTAGTATTCGTATTTTGAGTATATTGAGTTAGAACTCTTAATCTAGGGTTATGATGGATTTTAAAATGTAACTTGGATATTGTGTTGATTTATTACTTATTTTCTCTGTAAACATTGATGTTTACTTAAATATGAAATTATTGTCCATTTATTTGTTTGATCGCCATTTAAATTTATTAGATATTTAGATGATACTTGAAAGAGTTAGTTTAAGTTAAACCTTAATTTGGCTAATGTGTATTCAGTACACTTAGAAATGAATTTAAGTGTTTTAATGTACAATTAGGATAGACATACGCTTAGTTGCCACATATAGCCAATTTTTAGAACCTTAGATTAAATAACTTAATTTAGTTGTTTCTAATAGACATATAACAATGCAATTAAGTTAGGCAATTGTGTAATATCTCAACGGAGAATTACACATGCATTAAGATCCTAAACTAGCATAAATTTCTATTAACATTAAATAATTAAGCAAACACAATTTCAAGTGAAATATAAAAAGATATCATAATCTTAAACTATTAAACTATTACTTCCACCTCAATTTGTTATTAGCATTTTTGCGATTAGAAATAGTTAATTAGATTACTTTTTAATCATTTCTCAAAGTTTGATGTTTAGGTAAAATTAACTTGTTTTAATTTTTGTAATTTGTAACAATTAGTAAACCAACTCCTCGAGAGATCCACAAACTCAACTTATCACTATATTACTTATTGCAATCGTATATACTTACACGTAATCTTTATTTGTATTTTGTATTTAATTTTGAGCATATTTTACATCACACAAGCAAAGCACAGAACACTTTCAACCTGATGTATAAGCACCATGTATTTCAGATTAAATCCTACTTCATTCTTAATTGAAAACAAAAACTGTTCCCATACAGGTTTATACTTTTTGAGCACACTTCTGCAGTTGTTCACCTGCTAGGAGATGGGCCACTTTTTAGCTTGATTAGAGCACACTTTTGCAGTTGTTCACCTGTAAGGGGATTGGCCACTTTGTAGCTTGATTAGAGAGTAGTAAGCCCCAGCCCGACCAATAGATAGGAGCCTGGAATGCGATCCTTGTTCTACTACCTTCCCATTCTTTATCACGGCTATGGAATCTGCCTTTCGTATGGTGAACAATTGGTGAGCTATAACTACGCAAGTTCTTCTAACCATCATCTTCTCTAGTGCTTTCTGGACTAGGCTGTCTGACTCGCTGTCAAGGGCACTGGTTGCCTCGTCTAGGAGAAGGATCATTGGGTTCTTTAGTATGGCTCGAGCCAGTGCAATCCTTTGCTTCTGGCCTCCCGATAGCTGAACTCCTCTTTCACCACAGTAAGTGTCATAGCCATCTTTCATAGAACTGCATCAGATTAATACATTTTTGTCAAAACACTGACAGGATTGGTATATGTAGTTATGGAGTTGTATAATGTTTAATCCAAGTAATGAATACCTTATAAATTCATGAGCATTGGCTATGATAGCAGCCTTCCTGACTTCAGCTTCTGAAACTTTCTCTTTGCCATAGGCAATGTTCTGACGGATAGTTCCTGCAAAAAGGGTGGGCTCTTGACTCACTAATGCTATATGTGACCTCAAATTTCTCAAGTTGTATCTCTTGATATCATATTCATCTATCAAGACGGATCCACTTTGCGGATCATAAAATCTTTCAATCAACCCAATTATAGTGGATTTGCCTGATCCACTTTGTCCCACGAGTGCCATTGTTTTTCCTGCTTCAATTTTCAGACTCAGGCCTGTGAAGATCATTTCGGTCGGCCTTGCTGGGTAAGAAAAGAATACATCCTTCAATTCAATCTGCCCCTTATTAGTTTGCTGAACTTCAATTCCTTTGAGGTCTTCAGGTTCAATCTCACTCCTCCTATCCAGAATTGCAAATATTCTTTTTATGGCACCACCACCTTTAGCTAAATCAGAAGTCATGCTTCCTGTGTCTGCAATGTTTTTACCAGTGCTCATCAATATAAAGAATGCTTGGAAGAGATGCTTCGGCGTCACTAGTCCTTGATTTATTAGTCTTCCCCCATGCCAGAAGGTCAGTGCTATAGAGGCTGTTGTCAAAAATTGGGAGCTAAACAAACCAAAACCAGAAATGTATCCTTGTTTGATGCTCTGCTGCTGGGGCCCTCTCATTGTTGCTCCATAGAGACGCAATATCCTTTTCTGAGAGGAAAATGCAGTGATAGTCCTGTGGTTAACTATAGCTTCACTTGCTAACTGGCTTCCCTCATTTTGTGATTTTTGAGCTTTTCGAGACATACTTTTCATTAGAACACTCCTAGAATAGAAGCTCCCAATAAGTAATGGCTGAATGGCAATCAGAACAATGGCTACCCTCCATGTAACAATCAATGCAAACAAAAAGGCTAGGGAAGCGCTAAAGAAAACTTGAACTAGTAATGACATACGATCTGCAATAAATGATCGAAATGTGCTGGCTTCAGTAGATAACCGTGCACAAATGGCAGCACTTGAGTTTTCATCTTGATCAAACCACCCAATCTCAAAGGTAAGCACTTTTGCAAGTGTTTGTTCTCGAACCCTTTTGACTAAGCGTTCTCCCATGATTGCAAAATTGTAATGTTGGAGGAGATTAGCGATGAAACTTAGAACTGCCAGTCCTAAGAAAATCAAGCAGTAGAATCTGATTTCTGATTTGATCTTGGAACTATCTTTTATAAAATAAACGGAGACAACTGTTCCTAAGCAATAGGCATAGGTTGGCTGAATTGCTCCGGTGCTAACAGCTCCAAAACACCCAATTAAGGTTCTCTTCCACTCAGGTGCATTCATCTGAAGCAAACGCCATCCAGAGAAGGGAGGGTGAGAAGAATTCTTTACGTTGTTCTCACTTTGATTTTCATAGGAATGCATCTGGACAGAGCTTGCCACAGTGATGGAAAATGCTGGGCTAAAAGCATTTGCTGGGCTGAGAGGGTACGCTGGGCTGCTGGGATAGCTAGATCTCACACTTACTGGAGTCTGCGGAGTTTGGCCACTCATCATCCTAAGGTTGTTTCTACCTTCTGTTGGATAATAGAAACCATCAGAGGCTTCATTTTGCATTGGCGTTTGCTGCAATTGCACCATCTTCTTATAGGCCCCACCTTCTCCATTGTTCATTTGGATAAGTTCATCGTGAGAACCTGATTCAATAACTCTTCCTGATTGGAGAACCGCTATCAAGTCTGCTTTACGGATTGTAGACAGACGATGTGCAACAACAATTGTAGTCCTTCCTTGTGAGGCATGATCCAGGGCTTCCTGTACTATCTTTTCAGATTGTGCATCCAACGCACTCGTGGCTTCATCTAGCAGAAGAATCTTTGGATCTCTGATCAAAGCCCTGGCTATGGCGACCCTTTGCTTTTGCCCTCCTGACAGTTGCACCCCAAATTGTCCTACCTGACTTGCAATAGTAATTATTAATTCAGCAAAACAATTAACTTCAACTTATATCAACTAAAGCATATTAGGACTTACTTGAGTTTCATATCCGTTAGGCAACTTTACAATGAAGTCATGTGCATTAGCGGCCTTTGCTGCCCTTATTACAAGTTCCATTGATGCTCCTTCCTTACCGAAGAGAATGTTTTCTTTTATAGATGTTGCAAAGAGAATAGGCTCTTGATTAACGAGTCCCATTTGGGAGCGCAACCATTTAAGCTGGAGCTTCTTTATTTTGCATCCATCGAGGATAATATCTCCATTGATAGGGTCATAAAATCTTTCAAGCAGAGAAATGACTGTGGACTTGCCAGAACCACTGCCTCCAACAAGACCTACCATCTTTCCAGCTTGCACTTTAAGATTGAATTTGTGGAGAATAAGGGCATCAGGCCTCGATGGATAACTGAAGTCTACATCTTTAAATTCAACTAATCCTCTCACATGTGATAGAACTTTTGCCTTTTCAATTTCGGAGTTTATAATTGGATTGCGATCAATCATCTCGAAAATTTTTGAGGCAGCATGTCTTGCCTCTGAGATGAAAGAGAGATTTGGAAGTGCACTCATAACAGCCCTGAATGTTCAAAATCAAAGCTGTAAGCTGTCCTGCGATATATAAATGGTAACTGAAGCCTATGAAAGCATTTTTTTGTCAATGCTATAAAAGTAGGTTCAAACGTTGGCAGAAATCCATTTGTACTGTTCCGTGTATCATGCAAAGGAAAAGTGAATGTAGTCCTGAGGTAATAAGCCAGATGAGAACAGCTTCATTTCAATAAGCATATACTCCTTGCTTTTGACATGCATAAATTTTCTAGCACTAATTTTAATATCTGCATGCCCCTCTGATTGAATTTTAGTGTTTCTGATTAATAACCAAATCTACACGTGAAATGAAACAAAGATTCTTGAGAATTAAAGTTGTTGCAGATAAACAATAGAAGAAAAAGGACAATAGTATGGAAAGGAACTCACAATCCTCCTAAGATGATACAGATCCCAGCTACGAAGACAGCGCCACCGCTTTCTCCTTTTTCAGTTACAAGAACACCGCCAACCCAGGCTTGAAAAGCCCAAGCTGCATAAATCATTCCCATGCTTCCAATCAGCAATCCTTTTGTGAAACCCTGCTTCATCCCTATCTCCATACTTTTTTGAAGTGCATCGCTAAACTTGTCTAGCGTTTGTTGCTCTGCAACATATGAATATACGGTTCTGATCGAGGAGATTGCTTGCTCTGCAATCCCACCAGCATTACCATAAGCAGCCTTCATCTCTGCTCCTATGTTCATCAGTACCTTACCAAATCCAAGTCCTGGGATTATGAACATTAGCGCGAATGGCAAAGCAGCCAATGTTACTCGCCAGGAAAGTTTGAAGGCAACCACAAGGCTTAAGATGAATGATGTCAGGTGAGCCAGGCAGTTTGGTATCTGAATTAAGAGAAATCCACTAATTTTTATGGGATTAAAATCATTTACTTTTCAAAAGGGAAAAAGAAAAAAATGTCTGAGGTAATTGATAACCTTGTCAGCTATGGTATCTTGGATTGAATGCGCATCAGAAGTGACAGTGGAGATGACCTGGAATGTAGAGGAAGAGGCCGTTTGGTTGTCGAAGAAACCAACGTCTTGCTTGAGAACTGCCTTTAGGTATTCCATTCTCATGCGAGATGCCTGCCTCTCAGCACTTCTTGTCCAACAAACTCCCTCTGGAAAACGAACGTAGGTAGTGGAATGAAACTTTTGCATCTCTTAAGTCGGAAAGACTTCACTGAATTATCAGTATCTGTACAAAGAACAAGTAAGAAATACAAATTTCAACAGAGAATGACATTTTATGAGTACATGAAGGGGCTTCACTCATTTGTCTCTCAAACAAGAAACCAAGATTATCTTTAAGTGGTCACTTCAACTTGCTAGATGAAACCGTGAATAAACTAAAGCATAGAAATGAAAGTTACATTTATACTTACCAATGAAAGCAGATATTCCCACCCCAATTGCAGAATAAAGTAGCCTAAGCGCATACTGTAGATAGGATGAGGCAGATAGTTAATAACGAATCAAGTATTTTAAGATTTAAGACGGTGCTAAGATGATCCTAACCAAAAGACCTCAAACCTAATCTGGATAAACATGTGTATACTACGTTTTAATTTGCAAGAGTTACCATTCATTTTGACTTCTTCAAGCAGTTTCATTAGATTGATTGATAATCCTAACGAGATGAGAGTTTGTCCTGTACATTAATTTTTACAGGGTAGATATAAATATAATTTACTCGATAAGAATCGTTCTGTAGAACCTGGTCATTGATCCATTACCAGGTAACAAGAGTTCAAAAATAAGAAGCAGCAGGATTTGAGGGCCATTTTAGAAAAGTCAATTCTATTTCTTGAAGATTTTAAGCAGGCTCAGGACCTTTTGGTTCTAGAGGAAGCTAGATGTCTCCAACTATATCTCATCACAAAGTTAATTTTGATGGCGCCTTGGACATTTAACGTAAATGTGGAGGAATAGGTATTATTATTAGGGCTCATGAAGGGCAACTAATAGGAGCACTTGCTATTAAAGTTCATTTAGTCCTTGAGGCCTGTATTATAGAAGCTCTAGAAGCTGTCAAACCTTTTAAATCGAAGGAGATGCACTTTTAGTTATCAGAAAGTTATCATTGGCAGATAAGGATCTCTCAAACTTGCCAGCAGATGGCAGGAACAAAATGCTTGGCTATCAATGAGTAATCAATGAAATCATCTTTTTGTTTCAAAAAAGAAAGGGGAAAAAGCTGCTAAGTTTAGCATTAAAATATATAAATAAATAAAAAGGTTAGGTATAATTGTTATACCTTGTCCGCTGTTTCATTGGAGAAAGATTGATCGGAAGCTCCATAATCGTTTAGCGCACCGCTGAGAATGTACATGTTGACAGGGGACATCATCCCATCTCCAATGCTACCTAAAGTTCCAAACAGCAACAGCAGTTTGTCTATCCCATCGGCATAGCGGAAGAGGCCACCACCTTTGCTCCCCATGTCACTAGTTTCGTCCAACACCAACTTCAATTCGTTTCCTTGATTTTGATCTTTGGTAAGTGAAAAATGTTATATCATACCCATCATTTTATGTATCCTGGCTTCAGGTGAATGGACACTTGGTGTCCTACTTATCTATTTTTTGATGCCAAATGGATTGAGGATTTCTCATGTTTTGAATTAAGTCGGCCACTTGTGTCCATACTTTTATTCCCGAAGGGATTGTTGGTTTTCAACAATTCCAAACTAGTAAGGTTCTCTACTTTCTTGGGTTTCTTTGTAAGGATTTTGCGACGCTGAGAAATGATCCTCAAACAAGAAATCCTTGTCTTTTCCTTCATTAATAATACCCAAATTTTTGGTATTGAAGAGCACGTATAATGAGGGAGAGAATCTATATTTGGGATACCATTAATACCCAAAGCTAATGCACTTTTAACTCACCTTTTTGGACATGTGTGGCTAGCTTGTTGGTTCAGGACGTGAACTATCTACTATATACATGGACCCTGTCCACGAAATCTGCTTGTTAACATCTATACAATGGTGACTGGTGAAAAATGGAAAGCTTGAGGATCATTCGGCAGTGCAACAATTCAATTTTGAATTTGGAAATGTTAGGGAATAATTAAAATCATTATTAAATCCTCATTTAGAGGTTTAAAATTTTTAAATTGACTGATTTCTGATATAATATTAATGTCTCTTTGTCTAAGACAAAGTGGTTTAGAATCGAATATATTGATTAGCTTCTCAGCTGGAAAGAAAACTTTATAGAGCACGTAATGTATTTATATATTAAAATTCCTCTCTTTCCTGAAAGGAACTCTTTATACAAACCAGTCAGCTTAAAAACTAATTAACTATAGGCCAAATTGGCATTAAGTAACGAAATTTTCCTGGCGGTCTAATTGCAGGTTCTTGTGTTTCACCTTCCTCTTGTTAACCTGCCTGCAATTGCTCCTTTTCCATCTCCTTTAGTTTTTTTACTTTTCTCGTTTTGTTCCTCAGTTTTCTTGGTGCTGCTTTGTCGTATATTTTATCTGTTCGGAAAGAGCTAAGCCTACATGATTTTAGGGCAGAATGTAAATTTTTCTCCTCTCCTCAAAGGAAAGATGCCCCTTGTGGGAAAAGCACATTAGAAATTCAGATATATATCACATCGAGGCTTTAGGGTTTTACATGTAAAGTACTATATTGTGGCATTCTCCTTTGTAGTTTGGCTAACGTGGGAATCACTGGCCGCTGAGTTCTTGTCTTCTACCTTTGAAGTTTGGCCAATTGGTGGCAACATTTTGTTGACAGAATCAATGTAACGTGAAGCACTGCACCTTTAGGCTAATGGTCAATATGGAATGCCACCCATACACTGAATTGGCAAAAGAAAAAAAAATTAGTTAGGTTTCATTCGGGAACTTGAATATCAAGAGAAATACAGAATTTGGACTTCAAATTTATAAACATGGGTTTCATGATTATTTTGTATTTATATGAATTTGCGAATTTTAAGTTTATATTCTTATATCTTTTCAAATATATATTAAATTTTAATTAATGTTTGTATAATATGTACATTTTATTCTCACAATTTATATAGTAAACTAAATCCCGAATTCAATCTCTTAAATTCATATTTCCAATAGTATCGTTGAATTTACAAAATCTTGTTTGTTCAAAGCATTACCAGTGTGATTTATCATTAGTTGGTATCGTTTTGCCTCTGAACAGCCAAACCTATTTAAGAGGTTTGGTTAGAGAAAAGTTGATTCAGTTGACGGTTCGATTTCAAAGAAATGCTATCAGTGTTTGAGCTCAACTTGCTCATTGCTCACACTATGTCTAATCATTTATAGTATTAGTCATACCAATCATAGACCAGCTACCCGTTTCAACCACTCTAGCGAAGAAGTGGTAAGACAATATGATTGCACTTTTCTCTTTGCTCAATTTTTCAAGTCAAGTAAGAAAAGATTGCTTGGGTTAAGCAGATCTAAGCAGCACCTAATTTTCTGCTAATTTTCCAACTGGATTCCTTAGCTTTTGAAATAATTAAATTTCTTTATTTTTTTTTTAATCTATTTCTTAATGTCTTATTGTACTTGAGACATAATAGACTTTGCACACTTATAAAATATAATCTTATAAATATGTAAGATTTGACCATATATAAATTTCATACAAGTAAACAATATTTAAAAATACAGTTGTCCATAGCACTGGTTCTCAAAACCAATGTTTCTTAGACCCAATCCAAGGAAAACCTAGAATGGATCTCATTAACCTTAGGATCGGTATGTCAAACTCTTGAACCGGTTTAGTGTAAACCTTAAATTCAGTCCAATTGAACCCTATATCCGGTTTGGTGATAACCCTAGAACTGATTTGCCCAATTTTTGAATCGCTCCAAAATCGATCAAACAAACTCTTGAACTGACTTAGTTTAAACCCTAAAAACAAGTATAGTGGCAACCCTAGAACTGGTTCAAAAACCCTTAAACTGATTTGTTTACGTTATCTGCCTTGCAACAGCCTTTTTTCTTCTTTTTTTTTTAATTTTCGTGGTTAAATATCATATCATTTTGCAGTATCTTATGTAGAAAGAAACCCTAAACAGACGCCATTTGTATTCTCTTTTTTTCTCTAAATTATTTATAGCCACTTTCTCCCTCTTACTTTTGCCTCTTCATTTTCCTTTTTCTTTTTAACGATTTTTTTCGCTATTTCTTCCCTTTTCCCTTCAAAGAAAACCTTTATGTTCTAACCTTTTTCCCTTTTGTTTTTTTTTCTTTCTCTACTTTTGTCGCGGCTACTGATGTCGATTACCCTTCTTTCCCTCTTTTCTTTTGGTTCCAATCCAAACATGCACCTTAATAAACCCCAACTCCCACGTCTGATCGATATTTTAAGTTGTGTCTCCCTTATTTTATTTTATTTTTTTGCCCATTATGATTTTTGTATTTTAGTTAATTTTTTGGTCATTGTTTTTGATTAAATTTTGTTTTATTTGTTTGTGGATTTCTTTGAATGATTTTTATTTTTGGTGATTTGTAATTTCTCTTTCGATTATGTGTTTGTGGTTTGGTAATGATACTAAAGCATATTATTTTGTCAAGGTGACTTCTTTGTTAATGGAGATTGTTGTGTAGATTTTTAATAATTTCATGGTTTTGTTTATGCGGGTATTTGGTTTGATTTCGATATAAAAAAAAATTTAAAGACTTTAGTCATCGTCATTAGTTCCTTTCTCTCCTTCACGGGTTGCAAACTAAAAATTAATTTTATATAATTAAGGTCTAAACGATGTTAAAGTCAAAGATGAAGCAATCTATCTATTGAATTTTTTTTTTATTTTTAAGCTTTGGGTTTAAATATCTCGTTGAACTTTTGATGTTACATTTCGAAGTCTTCAAGGATAGTTGCCCGATGTTAGCAAAGTCCCCATAGCTTGACATTATATTGTTCTTTGGTACAATACATAGATTTTTTTAACTTTGATCATAATTACATATGAGCTTATTAATTTTTAAAACGAGGCTCTAAACATGTGAATGACATTAATGCTTAATTATGAAATATCTAAAATATTTTTATTATTTACATCATTGATGTATAAGGAGATGCCATTTGGCAAAATAATTGTGATATTTTTAGAACCATCAATAATCCCAACGAGACCTGATATTGTATGAACATTTACCTTACGCAATGTTGTTGTCAAAAAATATGGTATGTGTCGTTGCACTATCAAGTAAATAGACATCTCCCCCTTTCTCAGTGATTCCCATTTGTATCTATATTGACAACTTTTCAATTAGTTAAAACCTCGTACTAATAACATTTTGTGAATTATAACTTTGAAAGAGAATTTTCAGAAAGAAGTAGTAGGAATGTAAAATGATTTTCTATTTCATTTCTTGTTCTAGTATATCTACTATTAACTACAATGCCTTTATTTATAAGTACACATAAATGGAGAGGAAATGAATTTACATAAATAGAAAGGATGAATTAGTAAATAAGAATGTATATATATTGAATGAAATCCAAAAAAAAAATGTACAAACATAATTATATACATTGGATATGAAAAGATATATTGAATGTTATAAAATACAATGAATACTCATTTATATTCATAACAGAGTTTTTAATTTTTAATGGATTCTCGACTTAGTCAGTTTTCTTAATAATTTGGACTTTATAAGGCCAATATGAAAATCTCCATGGGATTTGTGATACTATTGCTCAAACTAACGAGGTGAAAAGACAATATGTATAATAAAAATTCAATTGGACTCGAAGGCCCAAGGGTACGAGTCATCTAGTAGGCATTATACTTGTGGTTTTCACGCAGTGGCTCTCTGCAAATTTCATCGCATGTTAAAGTAATGAAATATGGATGGGCATTACAATGTTGAGGAAGAGGAAATGCATGAGTTGACGCAAGAACCCAAGCCTTGCGGGAAATCTCCTTGACCAGAGCTATTTAAGTTTCTTCATTCCTGGGAAATAAATAAATTACTAGAAGGAGCTTAAGAATAGTGAGCAATAGCTTTATATTTCATTTCCCCAGCCAAATACGTTGAAAGAGGATGGCTTATTAACTTTGATTTCAAGCCAAACCCAAAAATTCCCCAATCATTTTTGCCTCTCGAAGGAAAAATATAACATGACGCATGAAAACTATAACAATTCCAACAACCATGAACGCAGCAAGTAGCTAAGGGCCTTACGCCTTGGTCTTACCCTTCCAGCAATAATCGCCTAGGGTGAATATGAAACCCCCGTCAGTTAACAGCTAATAATATAAGCCATTTCAATCGATGTTGTAAGTTTCATCCTATTAAAACTTTTAACATGTTATATCAGTCTTCATTCCCAACCAGGCTGCCATTTTGCCTTTTTATATTTTATTTTTTGTTGTTTTTTCTTCTTTTTCACTTTCTAAAAGGATAATATAAAAATTGATTATTAAAAATTTTAATTCCACATTCAATTAGATTTTCTCTTTATTAAAATTTTTATTTTTAATTAGATCATTTTTAATTTTATATTTATATAATAACAAGGTGACAACGTATTATTTATTGACAATATATAAAATTTAAGCATAATAATTAAAAAATTCTTAAATTATTCAAATAAATTCAAATAAATTTTACAATAAAGTCTCTGTATTTTTATTTTAAATCAAATAAATTTTTATATTTTTATTTTAAGTCAATACTTGATTTAGTCAAATCACCACATAACACTGATATGATATATTGACATGTTATACTGAATGATAATATAATATTTTTTACTTTTTACATCAACGTAACGTTAACGTCATATAGACATAAAATGACAAATGATATTTTGATTAATAGTAATTAATCAACTATTAACTATAAGAGATTATTTGATCGAAAATAAAAATATAAAAATTTAATTAAAAGTAATAAAAAATAAAGATTTATTTAAATTTTTTTATTTTGAATAGCACATGAATTTTTTTGAACACTTTGTTTAAAATTTATATATTTCAATGTACCAAACATGTGCTCCTAACAAAAAAAACAAAAATTCAGCATGATGTCGTTTAATTAGATCTGTCAAAATGGTCCTGACCCATCAGGTCGGTTTATTTTTTATTAAATATGAAGTGAGTTAGATTGAAAAATTTTGATCTATATTAGAACCGGGCCTAAATGGGCCAACCCATCAAATCAGTGGGCTAATGTGGGCTGGGGCAAGGCCAACCCTATGGGTCAGAAAAAATAATTTTAATTAATTTAATAATTTTAGATATTTGATTATGTAAAATTAATAATTTAGTTACCAATAGTATTGTTTATTTTATATATTTCAATGTCTTTAATCTTCACTTGTCAAATTAAAAATTTTAATTTAGATTAAAACTTATTATCTCTTTTTCTTTTATGGTAATGAATATTAGATGATAAATTGATAATAATTCAGACTTTGAGACATCATTGTTGTCTAAATAAGATTTAAATGTTTTACTTGAGAATGAATATTGAAGAGGATATAAATGAGTCTTAAATTTTTATTATTTGGTTATATACTTATATTTATGAGATAGTAGTCTGTGTTAAAGATAAATTTTATTATGTAATTTATTAATTTTTTTATATTTAGTGTAATTTATTTATTTATAACATGTTTTTATTATTCAATTTATAAATTAAATCATAAAATAATTTTATTAATAATAAAAATTTATCAAGTAAAATTATAAAAATTAATTTTAAAAAAAAATAAAAATAAATTGACTCAACCCAACTCATAAACTAACAAGGGACGAGCTGAGTTGAGATTTTGATGAATCATATAAAAAATAGACTGACTCGGCCCAACCCACATTTTTTCAGCTCGGGCTGGGCCGGGCCAGCACATATTTTCAGGGATGGACGGCACGAAAGTAAAGTGCATTCGAGGTAAAAATAAGACCAACTACATCATAAAATTCCTCGGCGAACGACTGTGATTTATCTCCTCTGCGAATTGAACAGTCGGCTGAGAATCCAACCTCAACTCGACAGCCTCCCCCTGCAAATTCAAAGCTAGTGAAGAAGAGAAGAGAAAAATGGTGAAAGTGGCCACTTACTTCGCCATGACATTAGGCGCCTTTGTTTTCTGGCAAACCATGGATAAAGTGCACGTCTGGATCGCCCTTCACCAAGACGAAAAGGTCCCAACCCCACTTTTGTTTACCTTTCCCTAAATTTGCACATTCCAATCTCTATTTTAGTTTTATATCTGAATTAGGTCATGGAAATATGGCCATTGAAATGCACTTCTTCCATTTAAATTCTTAAATTTTTTTTATTATTTGCAAATAGATTAAAAGTTGAAACCCTAGATTCTGTAATTTTTTTATTTTAATAATTATTGTGGTTGCAGAAAGAGAGACTGGAGAAAGAAGCGGAGATCAGGAGAGTGAGGGAAGAGCTGCTTCAGAAAGCCAAGCAGAATGATCCTCTCGCGTAAATTATGCGTTCAAGTGCCGGTGGACATGTTGTTCCTGTTTTCTTTTTTTGCTTTATTTTTTGCCGAATTGTTTTAATTTAGACTCAATGGAATTGTGGTCGAAAGCATAATATTGCCTTTGATGAGCTGGATAACTCCATGAATGTCACGGACGAATTGGTTATATATATACATATAATTGGGGAAAGGGGATTCAAACAGGGGATTCAAACCTGCTCCTTAGGCAGGGATAGGCAGGAGATCATGTACCAACCAATGCCTAAATGCTTGGGTGCCATGGATGAATTGTTGTTTCCTTCTGCTTTATAAAATGCCATCTCTCATCTATTCCAAATCTGACGGACTTTGCTTCTTGTTTCTTTTTTCGTGTTTATGTTATGCATGTGCCTTTCTCAAATTCATTCTTCATGATGAAGACAAATCATTTAGCATTGTTGGTAATTGATGAATAGCTTTTTCTTGACTATTGAATGCATTTCGTTTGTTAAATTTTGTAGGATTTTGACTGCTAACCTCTCTTGTTGAAAGAGTGAGAGTCCGAGTTCTAGCTTTTCTTTTTCAGATGAAGCTAAACAATTTATCAGAGTGCAATAGGAGGGAGAGATAAATAATAGTAGTATTACATTGTTTATGGAGAGAAATGTAGAGGAATGTGGAACTTTCTTTGCTGATATTGATGATGCACACCACCTTCCTCCTCTAACATGATTTAGCAGCCCTTACCTAAAACTAAGTAAGCTGTTTCCCTTGGATACCTGTTCTTTACCATCCTCTACCAAACAGGATGTAAACAAATAGTCTTAGGACATTCTGTAAACATTACTTATTTGATATACGTGTTCTTGTGAAATATAAGTATCAAATGCTTACCGAATACTCTTTTAAGTCTAGCATGGAGGAAAATATATATACAGATGGGAAACAGCAATACATGGGTTTCTTAATGTTTTCATCTCTTGCTGTTATTTGTTATAGTCAAGCAGCAAAGATCAGATTTTACCTTAAAACACATTTTCATTAGCATTATCATTATCTACTTGCTGTCAACGCATCGGCAATGATGCTTTTTGATGGTATAACAATCGTATTATATGCTTGACACGTGGTTACTGTCAACTCCATAAACGATTGATGGTTTATTACCATGTTTAGACATGATGGAAGGTCATTGATCAATATTCAAATATTAAGTATCTCAAAAAACCAGATTCATTCTATTTCAAGGCTAACGATTAAGGTTACTCTTTGATTTTAGCCATTTCTGTTTGGTGTGATGTTTTTTAAGTGTGTGGCTTTATTATGTATGTCTGCCCTCACAAAGCCAACTTTCCCCAATGATACCATGTCAACGATGATGAATGCATAGACCAAGCATAGCTGCTGGTGCTGACTCTACTGAGGACTTGCTAGTTTAATTTTTTGTTCAAGCAATTCTTCCCAGGAACTACCCAGAGCAGACTGCTATAGGTTGTTGCTGCATGTCTCCCCACACTCTTATGCGTAGCTGTATTTTAGCCATTGCAAGGTGGATGTGTTTCAGCCAATGATTGTTTTCATGTGCATGCTATACCAAGAAAAGCCTTTCAGTTGGAGCACCGATGTGAATGGTTCACTCCTTATCCGATCTTTCCTTCTTCCTCCCAAAAGTACATAGAAATGAGACAAGATGGAAAGGGGGTGGCAACTAGTAAGCTTTGGAAAGTACGTTCTTTCTGATGAAAAGAAAAGATGTTTAACACATACTTCATGCATAAATCTTTCTTTTCTTTAGTGCTGTCCAAATACTAGATATGTGTACCATGTGTATGAGCAGCGTGTACAAATATTGGATCTTTGGAAGAGAAGGCATGGCAGTTTTGAGCCCTGTTTCTCCAGGACTTGCAGGAAATCGTGTTCTATGCCGCCTGGCACTTTCAAGTACATAATCAATCTGTCTCCTTCTACGTACAAGTTAAGCTAAGGCAACGTGGGTTAGCATGTAGATTGTTGATAATTACACGCAAACTGTCAGAAATTCGCCTCTAAAAATAGTTGCAAAGAATTATCTCCGAAAACAATAACACCTTTTTGCCTCAATTTCTGGTTAAAGATTTGTAAAGTTGAGATGCCAACTCCTTGCCTTTATCACCATAAAGGGGCATGCTCGCATCATACATCAATAGTTCGTTCTCATAGAATGCTTGGTCTTCACAACCGCAAAAGGATTTCCCCTACAAAATCTGCATTTTATGGTATTGAAGTCCATATGGATATAGGGAAGTTCATCTTGGTTGTACTTTCGTTGGCTCTGGTTTTCGGGCAGTTTCGATTACCAAGAGAGCGAGTTGGCCTCCGAGGAGAGCCTGTGGGACTTGTATGAGAGATGGACGAGCCACCACATTATTTCGCGTGACCTTAAGGAGAAGCAAAAGCGTTTCAATGTGTTCAAGGAGAATCTGAAACATATCCACAAGGTGAACCAGATGGACAAGCCGTACAAGTTGAAACTGAACAAGTATACCGATATGACTAACCATGAGTTCATGAGTACAAGGAGCTCAAAGGTTAGCCATTACCGGATGTTCCATGGTCCAAGGCGGGTGACTGAGTTCAGACATGAGAAGACTGACATCCTTCCTCCCTTCATTGATTGGAGGAAAAAGGGTGCAGTTACTGGTATCAAGGACCAAGGCAAATGTGGTAAGCACTCTATCCTTTGAAGTTTTCTACCAGCAAGCATCTGTGAATAGATTAAAAAGTCAACTTACAAATCAATGTAACTATTATAATTCAGAACAAACTATCAAGAATCTTTGAACCTTCCGATAATTTCAATCTGCTGACGGATATGTCACTGAACTTTCTAAATTGCAGCAACAAAGTAGCAAGAAAACTTAAGTTATAGCGAATGTTATTGCTGCCTTCCTCGCTGATATTTTGTCAAGATATTATGCAGTTCCATCATAATTCATATTTTGCTTTGAAGTTACTCACAATTATTGATGTCACAGGTAGCTGCTGGGCATTTTCAACTGTAGTTGCAGTGGAGGGCCTAAACAAAATCAAAACAGGTGAGCTTGTGAGTTTATCTGAACAAGAACTAGTTGACTGTGATAAGGAGAACCAAGGTTGTAACGGAGGATTGATGGAACAAGCATTTGAGTTCATTAAGCAAAGTGATGGACTAACAACTGAGAATAATTACCCCTACAGAGCCAAAGATGAGATCTGTGACTCATCCAATGTAAGAAAAAAAGGGTAAAAAAATCTTCCTTAATTCTGTTTTTATGCAGATATATTGACTTGAATATGCTACCGCTGATTTTTCAGTTGAATGGTCCTGTGGTGGTCATTGATGGCTATGAAATGGTGCCAGAAAAAGATGAAAAGGCTCTGATGAAAGCTGTTGCAAACCAACCTGTGTCTATTGCTCTAGATGCTGGTGGCAAGGATATCCAATTCTACTCAGAGGTAATTAAAATGAGAACTCATAGGCTGATGCATTGAGAAACCCTTATAATTAATCCCCATAACAACAAAAATGGTTGCAGGGGGTGTTTACTGGAGACTGTGGCACTGAGCTGAACCATGCTGTGGCAGTGGTAGGATATGGAGCAACCCTGGATGGGACAAAGTACTGGATAGTGAAGAACTCGTGGGGCCCTGAGTGGGGAGAGCAGGGTTACATAAGAATGCAACGAGACATTGATGCGGAAGAAGGGCTGTGTGGTTTAACTTTGGAAGCCTCTTACCCTGTCAAATTGCAGTCTAACAACATTAGAAAAGCTTCCCGCGAGGCCAAGGATGAACTGTAATTCAGAATAGCATCGTTATGATGATAGTTGCATAAAATGTCTCGCCACCAATTAGGTGCTTCTGCGTGAAGTTGTGTATTATATACAACGACTTGTTATTGTGAAATGCTTTGAAATGATAATAAAACCTGTTAGATGCTTTGAAACTTGATAGCTACAAATGAAACAAAGCCATAAATTTCATAACATTACTTGTGTTTTAAGTAGTGCTACTACTTACTTTCTACATACAAAGAAATTTGACGTGACATGATAGATAATCGTGTAGATGAATCTTAAACGATGGGGAATGGGAAAATGGAAATGTCTAAGTAACTTATTTTTCCATTATTTTCAAGGAAAAATTGGGCATGGCATAAACCACAAGCGCCTCCAGTTCACGGCAAAGTCCATTATCATCAGGAATTACGTAACGGAGATACCTTTCTCCACTATCTAAATAATATCAAACACCGGAATTGCAAATCAGGTTGGCCCATAATGCCCAGTAATCATTAGGAACTGAATTAACCTAACTTTTAATAAAAAAAATAACTGAAAATCAGTCCAATTATATCTCAAAATTAAAAATAATTGAAATTGACTTAGATAAATCAATTTGATTGGATCTAATTACTAATGATACATATAATATTTTAAAAAATTTTGCTTAATGTTTTAATAATGTTTCACTAAGCCTAAATGCTTTTAATTCACCTTATATATATTTTTTAAAGTAATAATAATAATAATAATAATAATATATATTATTAACGGTAGACCTTTCTATCTATTCATAGTAAATTTTTTACATTAAAAATCGATTGAAATACTTGATAAATTATATCTTTTAACCGATTAATATTGGAATTTAAAAATATGAATTATTAAATTAATTGATTTCAATCTATTATTTCAGTTTACACCTATTAATACTCACCTTAATAAATATAACAGCACGGTAAAATGGAAATTAAAGCAAGGATTAAGAATTTAAAACAAGTTTCAGAGATTAAAGAAGTACCGGTTCCAAATTAAAGACCCGAAAGGAGATAAGCAGCTGTACAACTGGTTTTGCCAAAGTTCTCTCATCCAACAATGTCATCTAATCTAAGCTACTATGGAATCTTGAGTTGAAAGGAACCGGGAAGGAATTTTTATCTAATTTTATTAGTTACCATGTATATCTAACCAAAAGAAAAGTTATTTTTTAATTTTATTTTAGATATTTTCCAATGAAATTATTTTTTATTTTTAGGTATTTAATAATTATACATTTTTTATTACAAAATGATTTTTTTATTTTTTATTTTTTATTTTAAAAATATAGAATATTATTTTATAAAAATAAATTCAAATTTTTTAATATAAAATAAATAAAAATAAAATTTTTTTCTTAAATTTCTATAAAAGTCAAAGTCCAATAAATATTTAAGGAGAAAAGAGGTAATATATATGAGCATTTTGATTAATTTATTTATGTTATGAACATGCGTGCGAGTATCTATTTTTTTATATATATCCAGATTTGAATGAAGATTAAATTGGATTAAGATTAAGATTTAATCCATCTATTTAATTTTTTAATATTATATTTATTTGATAAATTCTATATAGATAAAGTATTATTAGTCTATAAATAGGCCCCTTACTTCATTTGTAAATTCTTAAATTCTCTCATAGTTGTTCTTTCAAGTTATATTTCATAACACAAATGATTGGGTTTTTTTTTTGTTTTATTAAATCAAGCAAATGACTTGATATCTCTTCGGCATTTTCATCTCTAAAAGTTAACTTAAATGTAAATTTACTATCATGTAGTATAATTTATATTTTGTCCTTTGATTGGAAAGTGAATTTGCTATTATATAGCTACTAATGAAAAATCATAAATTCTGTTTATTTCTTGAAGTGAAAACGACATCATTTGATAATTATGGTCATAAAAATGAAAAAGGTTGCCATAACAATTATAATCGTAGTGATTATATTAATCACTATTCTAAATCTAAGAATACATTTACCCATTAGAAGTGGGTAGATAATTTTAACCCATAAAAAATTGATGAATAATTTTAACCCATCTAAAATTGATTGATAATTTTAACCCACTAGACTAGAAATTGATGGATACTTTTTAACCCACCCGAAATGGATGAACACTTTTTAACTTAACGAAAGTGGACGAATACTTTTTAAATGTGGCATGAAAGGCCATTAGTCTCATATCTATTATACGTCGAAGCATCTTGTTGAGTTTTATCAAGCATCACTGAATGCTAAAAAAAAATGTAGAACTTTATCAAACATCGTTAAATGCTAAAAAAAATCAAAGTAACTTTGTTCAAGATGATTTTAACCATAACCAAGTTGATATAATACATCAAGATGATGCAAATTTTCTTATCTATCCTGAAAGAGGAATTGATCATTTCATTGATAGTTGAAATATCCAATAATGAAATTTTTTAATAGTTTGTTGATATGTTTTAGTATAACTTTATGAAAAAAATTTTATATGTTCTCATTATATTTAAATGATATATTTTTATTATGTGTTTTAATTAGTAAATTATATATTTAATGTTTTCTTATGTCAACTTGTAAGTTTCTTATTATGTATCTTTTCTTATTGAAGAAAAACATTGATATTCATCTTGTTGGATTCAAGATTAATGATGCAAATATATGTCTAGCAGACATTACTACAATGCACATTATATTTAAAGATAAGAAATATTTTTTCCACTTAACAATTGGAAAAACCAATGTTAATATAATATCCGGTAATATAAGATTAATTGAAGACCCTGGAAAAGTCAATATTTTACTATCCAAGGGAACAAACTTCATAATAGATTATGCATTATTTTCTACTACGTCTCAAAGAATTTTATTAAGTTTAAAGATGATTGTCTAAATAAATATCATACTGAGATAATGAATGAAAGAAGCATTAAATATCTTTATCTTATATCTATTATCTTGGGTAAAACATGTGTATTGGGAAAATTATCCGTTTTGTCCTCTAAAACGTACTACGAAAAAAAATAATTGAAACTCATGTTATAGTAAACTAAAAGTTCACTAATGATTTTAATATTTGGCATGATCGGTTGAGCCATCTTAGATCAATAATGATGCTAAAAATTATCAAAAATACATGTAAACATCTATTGAAAAACTAAAAGATTTTTTAATATAATGAATTCTCATGTGTTGCTTGCTTTGAAGGCAAATTAATTAAAAAGCCATCACTAGCTAAAGTTGAGAATAAATCCCTTGCATTTTTAAAACATATCCAGGGTGATTTATTTATACCCAAATATCCACTATGTGAACCATTTAAATATTTTATAATTTTAATTGATGTATCGACTAGATGGTCATATATGTACTTATTATCAACTTGTAATTTGACATTTGTAATCAGTTGTTTGCAAGCACATTTTCTTGATCATACAATCAAGACTATTCGTTTTTATTTTACAATGTTGGTAAATTTACATCTTAAGCCTTTAATGGATATTGTATATTAATTTAAATAACTATTGAATAGCCTATTGCTCATATTCATACACAAAATGGTCTAATAAAATCATTTATTAAACACTTCTAATTGATTGTAAGGCCATTGTTTATGAAATCTATAACTCCCAATTTTTATTTGAGGGCATGTCATTTTGAATGTAGCAACACTTGTCCAACAAGTTATCATAAATTCTTCTTTATGCAATTGGTTTATGGTCAGAAATCAAATATTTTTCATCTCAGAATTTTTGGATATATGGTATATGTTTCAATTACTCCACCACAACACACAAAGATGAATTTTCAAAGGGAGTTAGGAATATATATTGAATTTGAATCTCTATCTATCATTAAATACTTAGAACCCGTAACAGAATATTTATTTATAGCAAGGTTTGTCAATTGTAATTTTGATGAAATAATTTTTTTAACATTAAGAAGAGAAAATAAGCAACTAGAAAAGAAAATATTTTGGAATGTATTATTATTATTTAGTTTTGATTCTCACACAAATCAATATAAACTTAAAGTTAAAAAATATAATTTGTTTGCAAAATATAGTAAATCAATTGTTAGGCACATTTACTGACCTAAAGAGAATGACTGGATCTCATGCCATTTGCAAAAGCTCCTATTAGAATTGATGTCTATGTAGAATAAGGTACGTTAGAAGCATGGTAGACCAATCGATTCCAAAGATAAAATTCTAAAAAAAGAAAAGGAGTAAACATTCAAGATGATTAGACAAAGGAAACATAAACTCCAAAAAAAACCCCTGACATAATTAATAAAGTTTCAAAAGAAATTCAAATAGTTGAAATCATTGAAAATAAAAAGATCTCGATAAATTATGTCATGATATAAAAAGATGGAATTCAAATTAAATAAACATCAGCGATCTTTTTATATATAATATAGTGCTCAATATTATGAAAGAAAAATGAAGATTTTAAACTTATATTAATTGAACAATGTAGATATAAAAATGATTGACCAATGGGAAAAAACGTAATCAACGTATAATTGAATTTATTTGCAAAACATGAAATTTTTGAACTTGTAGTCCACACACCAAATGGTTTAAAACCAGTAGGATGTAAATGAGTATTTGTGCAAAAACAAAATTAGAAAAATGAGATTATGAAATATAAAGCATGGCATATCGTACAAAATTTTGCCTAAAGACTTAGTATTGATTATAAAGAGACATTTTCACTTGTAGTGAATGCAATTATAATTCTATTTTAATTAGTATGGCAATACATAAAAAGATTAAAAAACATCTAATGAGTATAGCTACAACCTATTTATATAGCTCACTTGATAACGATATCTATATGAAAATTCTTAAAGAATTTAAGTTGTCTGAAGCACAAAATTTGAATTCTTAAGGAATTTATTTGATTAAATTAAATAAATCTTTATATGGATTAAAGCAATCTGGACACATGTGGTATAATCGCTTTAGAAAATATTAGTTGAAAAAATATTATAAAAATGATCCTATATGACTGCGTGTTTTTAAAAAAAATTCGGATCTAAATTTGAAATAATTATTGTTTATGTTAATAACCTACACATTATTGAAACTCTTAAAAAAAAAGAACTTGAGATAATAGAT